TGGAGCCGGAATGGGGCTTCCCAGGTCTGGGCTAAACTAGCAAATTGGTACAAAAGATCTGCCCTGTATCTGGTCACCACACCTTAAAAAGGAGATTATAGCTTTGGGAAAAGTGCAGAAAAGGGCAACTCGAATGATGAAAGGGTTGGAACACTTTCCCTATGAGGAAAAGTTAAAGCGCTTAGGGCTCTTTAGCTTGGAGAAACGACGACTGAGGGGTGACATGATCGAGGTTTATAAGATTATGCATGGGAAAGAGCAGGTAGAGAAAGAGGTACTTTTCTCCCTTTCTCACAATACAAGAACTCGTGGGCACTCCATGAAACTGCAGAGCGGTCGGGTTAGAACGGATAAAAGGAAGTACTTCTTCACCCAAAGAGTGATTAACACATGGAATTCACTGCCACAGGAAGTGGTGGCGGCTACAAGCATGGACGGCTTCAAAAGGGAATTAGATAGGCATATGGAGCAGAGGTCCATTAGTGACTATTAGCCACAAGGTTTAGATAGGGGCTCTGGGGCAAGTGATGCTCTGTCTTCTTGGTGCTTGGGGGGGTCAACAGTGGGAGGGCTTCTAATGTCCTGGCCCCACTGGTGGACCTCCTGATGGCACTGGTATTTCTGGCCACTGTGATACAGAGTGTTGGACTGGATGGGCCTTTGGCCTGATCCAACATTGGCGTCTCTTATGTTCTTATGTTCTTATCTCAATACGGTTATGCGCCTGTTGCTTCTCTGGGGAGGGACTGGTCCAGCATCCTGCTAAGGTGGAATGAGAAATCTAGTTGAAACTTGACCTGGGGCTTAATTAAGGTCCCCTTCTGCATCCTCTAGGCTCCCAATAAATACGACACACAAAGAGAACTCTGTGGGCAGGGTATTCTCATGATACGCAGCTCTCTGACCCTCCTGGGTTGCTGCTCACAAGAACATGTAAGCGAAGCTGCCGTGTACAAAGTCAAAGCCACTGGCTCCTCTAGCTCCGTATTGCCTGCTCTGATTGGCCGCTGCTCTCCAGGGCTGTGGGCAGAGAATCTTCAACAACTGTCACCGGAGGTTCTTTACCTGAGATGCCAGGGATTGAACCTGCAGCCTTCTGTATACAAGGCAGGTACTCCACCCCTGAGCCACGCTCTCCCTCCTGCCATGAGTGCCCCTAGGTCCCTTCACCGTCTGTTTGTTTAATCTCCACTTCCCATGCGTCATGTGGGAGGGGCCGTGGCTCAGTGGAAGAGCCTCTGCTTGGCATGCAGAAGATCCCAGGTTCAATTCCCGGCATTTCCACTTAAAAGGACCAGGCAGTGGGCTCAACCTCTGCTCGAGACCCTGGAGAGCTGCTGCCAGCCAGAGTAGACGATACTGACCTGGATGGACCAATGGCTTGATTCAGTATAAAGCAGCAGTTTGTGCATTGAGGTTCTTTACCACAGGTGGTGGGGCTTGAAGCTGCAGCCTTCTGTATACAAAGCAGGCACTGTTCCAGTTTGGTGTAGTGGTTAAGTGAATGAATGAATGAATTTTATTGTTACGGCACCCAGCCAGCAAATAGTGGTTAAGTGTGTGGACTCTAATCTGGGAGAACCGGGTTTGATTCCCCACTCCTCCACTCACACCTGGCTGGATGGCCTTGGGCAAGCCATAGTTCTGATAAGAGCTGTTCTTGAAAAAGAGCAGTTTCTGTCAAGAGCTCTCTCAGCCCCACCTACCTCACAGGGTGTCTGTTGTGGGGAGGGGGAGGGAAAGGAGTTTGTAAGCCGCTCTGAGACACCTTTCGGTAGTGAAGGGCGGGGTATAAATCCAATCTCTTCTCTTCTTCTCCACTGAGCCATGTTCTTTCTTCTTCCAAGAATTCCTCAAGTTCCCATGCCAATCTAATTGTTTATTCTCCACTTCCCATCCCAAATTTGGGGAAAGGAGACTGACCTACCTTTTAGGGCTGTCGCAAAAAATCCCTGGGGGAAGGCCTTGAATGCTCAGAAGTTGCCGGTATCCATGGAAAGGACAGATCCAGTTGCTCAGCCGCGTTTGTCTGAAGCAGCAGAACAAAGTCTTGAGTCCAGCAGAACCTTTCAGACCAACAAAGTTTTATTCAAGGTGTGAGCTTTCGTGTGCAAAGCACACTTCCTCAGATACAGTGAAGTTGAAAGAGAAATAACAGCCATACGTACAGAGGGGTGGGCAGTAAATTAGCATACGGAATAATGAAGGTGACCCATATAACTAAGTTATATGGTGTAGTGTAGTGGTGGTGTAGTCTGTCTGGTGTAGCCAGTCTGGTGTAGTGGTTAAGTGTGCGGACTTTGATCTGGGAGAACCGGGTTTGATTCCCCACTCCTCCACTTGCACCTGCTGATGTGACCTTGGGTCAGCCACAAGCTCTGGCACAGCTGTCCTTGAAAAAGAGCAGTTTGTGTCTGAGCTCTCTCAGCCCCACCCACCTCACAGGGTGTCTGTTGTGGGGAGGGGAAGGGAAAGGAGTTTGTAAGCCGCTCTGAGACTCCAAGTGAAGGGCGGTGTATAAATCCAATCTCTTCTCTTCTTCTTCTTTTAATCCATTAGAAACATCTTCATTATCCTGTATGCTAATTTGCTGCCCGTCCTCTATATGCGTGGCTGTTATTTCTGTTTCCATTTCATTGTATCTGAAGAAGTGTGCATGCACTCGAAAGCGTATACTTTGAATAAAAATTTGTTGGGTCTTGAAGGTGCCGCTGGACTCTTAACTTTCTTCTAGTGGAAAGGACAGTTACACATATATACATACATATAAAGCTCCCTTATACTAAATCAGACTTTGGGCCCATCGTGGTCAGTACTATCCACCCAGACTGGCAGCTGCTCTCCCGGGTCCCAGTCAGAGGTCCTTCCCATCACCTACTGGTCTGGTCTTTTTAACCGGAGATGCCGGGGATTGAACCTGGGACCTTCCGGATGCCAAGCAGAGGCTCTTCCACCGAGCCACAGCCCCTCCCTCTTCTGTATGTGCATCGAAGGGAAAGATGCCATCGAACTCCCAAGTTGTGAAGCTTGGGAGGTGAACTAGCAAGCACTTCTGTTGTGAGTAGGTCTCTGGCGTACTGTGGAGTGTGCTCAGCTGAGTGCATGAAACCAGACATAGGCTCATATGTACTGCCAGCCTTGCACCGAGAGTCCCTGCTGACTTTTACCCACTTGTAGGCTGGTGAAGGTGGTCTGACGAACAAATACTGTAGGCAGGAGCCAGTCATTCACGTTCGCAGCAGCTTGGAGGAGAAAGCTGACGTTGGTAATATCACACAGCGTCTAGGCCTCATGGTGAGCTCCTCCTAGTTCACATCCCTGGGCCTGTAGCAGCCGCAGTTGGGTACCCCTTCCGCCATGCCTGGTCAGGTATCTTGCTAAAAACCCTCTCTTGGAGTAGCTGTAACTGGTTTTTCACGACCACGAGCTGCTTTGAGAGCCAATCTTGTGCAGCTTCAAAAAAAATGTACTAAAAGAGATGCAAATTAGGGACAGGGGTGGAGCCTGAGAGGGAGGGGTGGAGCCTGAGAGGGAGGCATTTGAGGAAGGGAGGGACCTCAGCCGGGGTACCACTCCATAGAGCCCACCCACCAAAGCAACCAGTTTCTTCAGGAGCACCAATCTGTATGGAGATCAGTTGTCATTCTGGGAAAACTCCAGGCTCAGCCTGGAGATTGGCAACCTTAGTATGGAAGGAGGCATAACTCTGGATCAGACAGCTTGCTTTGCATGCAGAAGGTCCCCAGTCCGGACTGTGACGTATGGTTGAGAAGCCTTTTGAGCTTAGGGGAAGATGTGGCGTCCTCTTATTAGGGAGGACTGGTTTTCTCTTTCAATCTATACTTTGTGTTCACAAACAGGGTAGATTCGGCTGCCACCAGGAATTTAAACAAATTCCAAATCCTTTCTCATTAGCTGTTGGTAACGTGACCTCGAGTCTGGGCTTTTCCAAGGGTCTCTGTGGTCCTGAGGAAAGATTTGAACTGAATTCTGGAACTCAAACAAAATGTGATTTATTGAATAAAATTTTAAACATAAGTTGTTTGTTAACTATAACTGTTTAGGGGAAGAGAAACTGGAAAACTTAGCTGTTAGGGTATCACACACAGTCTTTGGTCACAAAATCCTTCTCTATTAAGAATCTCCTTTTCAATAGACCCTCACTCCGGCTAAGCTCTTTATTTTGTGCTTAGTTTTCTTTTAAACTTTAGGATGTCTCAGATCCTTCTCGTAACTCTTCAACATTTTAAACTTTCAACAACATATTTTCTGAACACTTTAAGTTTCCACACAGCACTCTGTTTCTCTGACAGACTCACTAACTGACAGACTCTCATTCAAAACTCCAACTGAACTGCACTCTCATTCTAAGCAACCCCCTCCTACACTCTGCCATCCACCAATCACATCACACTAGTTTCTCTCAATCATTCTACATTCTACTCTGCTATCACTGCACTCCAACCAAACATTTAAAGACACACACTCACTAAAAACAAGGAATCATTACAGAAGGTCTTGGACCCAAGAAGAGACAGAGCTAAGAGTCCAACAACTGAATTCTGAAAATGCTGTGATTACATACTTTGATGTACCAGAGCTCTCAGAGGTGGTCTCAGAAAAGGCAACATTAAGGCACGTGGCTTGGGTCTCAGGGAGCATACCATTGGATCAGAACCAAAGGATTGATACCACAGGTAATTTTTGGGACCTGCCTAGATCTCTGTTGCTGTGGCTCTGTGGAAGATCCTCTTCTTGGCATGCAGAAGGTCCCAGGTTCAGTCCTGGTATCTCCAGTTAAGAGGATCAGGTCTTAGGTGGTGTGAAAGACCTCTGCCGGAGACCCTGGAGAGCCGCTGCCAGTCAGAGTAGGAGATACTGTCCTGGATCGCCCAATAGTCTGCTTCAGTATAAGCCATTGTCATCTGTGTTCATATGTATCCATCATTTGCATTCGGGCATCTTGAGCTATCTAACGGCACTTCTCTGTGTCTCTCTAGTGTCACCACTCCTGCAGACGTCCGCGCACACACACACACCATGGCAAACAGAGGGCCGGCCTACGGACTCAGCCGAGAGGGTCAGCAGAAGATCGACAGACAGTACGACCCTGAACTGGAGCAGATCCTGATCCAGTGGATCGTGGCGCAGTGTGGCCCCGAGGTCGGGCAGCCGCAGCCTGGCAAGGATGAGTTCCAGAAGTGGCTGAAAGACGGCACAGTAAGGGGGTTTCCCTTTCCTAGCTGTGAAGGGTTAGCGGTTCATTGCAGTTTAACTACGAGAGAGGGTTTTTTTTTGGGGGGGGGCAGCTTAAATCATCCCCTTGTGTGTGAAAGCAAGGACTTACAGAGGGTTTGAAAGACAGGTTTCTCTTTAGGTGTGTGCGTTCCACTCTTTTATTTATTTATTTTATTTATGCATTCGATTTATATACTGCTCAGACCCGAAGGTCTCTGAGCGGTTTACAGGCGATTTTCCAAATACAGTTAATTCCTAAACTAGGGCCACATGAAACGGGGGTGGGGGCTGCCTACCGGACTTCACACACACACACACACACACACACACACACACACACCAGGTGTTCAGAGAAAGTGCTGTCAAGTTGCAGCTGACCTCTGGTGAGCAATGCTCCCTCTGAGCTGTGGAGTCCAGTGAGCAAAAATTTGACTGTGAGCGAGCGATTTGGCTGCTGCATAAATGAAGTCTGCTCTGGAGCCCTCCTTCCGGAGCGGAGGCAAAAATCTATGAGCCGGAGGCTGAAAAACTGTCAGCTAGCTCACACTAACTCAGCTTAGAGGGAACACTGCGGGTGACCAGTGTTTCCTCTAAGCTGAGTTAGTGTGAGTTAGCTCACAGTTTTTTCGCCTCCGGCTCACAGATTTTTGTCTCAGCTCAGGGAGGATGGCTCCAGAGCAAACTAACTGATGCAGTAGCCAAATCGCTCGCTCACAACTTTTATGCCAGTAGCTCACAAAGCAGAATTTTTGCTCACAAGACTCCACAGCTTAGAGGGAACATTGCTGGTGACCCTGTAGGGTTTTCAAGGCAAGAGGTTTCCGGAGGTGGTTTGCCACTGCCTGCCTCGGCGTAGCGACCCCGGGCTTCCTTGGCGGTCTCCCACCCAAGTACTAACCAGGGCCGACCTTGCTTAGCTTCAGAAATCTGAAGAGATCAGGCTAGCCTGGGCCATCCGGGTCAAGGCAGAGAGTTGGTAGGGTCCCAAAAACCTGCAGACCTTATTTGAGCGGAACTAGTGTTGGCTGAAGCCTGGTTTCATCAGATCTCGGAGGCTAAGCAGGGTCAGACCCATAGCTGAGGCCTGCTACTGTGTGAAATGGGCCTTCCCCCTCCTCAGGAAATGTGCATTCACTCTGCACAGCAAGCAAACAGAACTGTCCACAGTCCATGCCATAACTCATGCCATAGTGGTCCCCGTCAGGATGCATGGGTGTGAAAGCCAGACAGTGACGAAAGCTGAGAAGGAAGCAAGTGGCTCGCTTTGAAAGGTGGTGCTGGAGGAGAGCTTTACGGATACCGTGGGCTGCCAAAAAGACACATCGGTGGGTTGTCGACTAAATCAAGCCTGAACTCTCCCCTAGGAGCTGGAATGACTAAACTGGGACTACTCTACTTTGGTTACATCATTGGAAGACAAGACTCACTGCCAAAAATACAGTAATGCTAGGAAAGGTTAAAGGCAGCAGGAAAAGAGGGAAGACCCAACAGGAGGCGGATTGGCACCGTTGAGGAAGTCGGGGCCCCTCAGTCTGCAAGAATAGGATGTTTTGGAGGTCATTAATTCATAGGGTTGCCGTTAAGTCAGAAGCAACTTGACAGCACTTTAACACGCATACACACACACCACAGCCCTAATAATTATTATTATTGTACGGTGTTGTGTGTAGAATAACCAGGAGATCCTAAGATTGTCTGGCAGTTAGAAGTTCTAGGTGTGTAGAATAGCCAGGAGATCCTAAGATTGTCTGGCAGTCAGAAGGTCTAGGTCTCTAGTGTTATGCACCACTAGGTGGCGAGCTAGACTTTTTCAGGCAAGAGATGTGTCAGAGGTGGTTTGCCATTGCCTGCCTCTCTGGCCTGGCCCTGGTATTCCTCAGAGGTTGCCCATCCAAGTACTTGCCAGGGCCGACCCTGCTTAGCTTCCGAGATCGGATGGGGTCAGGCTAGCCTGGGCTATCCAGGTCAGGGTTCACGCAGCCCTATTTGACTTGTATGACCAGGTGAAGATGGGTCACTGCCTGAAGGGGCGTAAATTTTTGAATGGGTGTAGAAAGAAGGGCAAAGGTAACCAAGACGGAATCACAACCTCTCCTAATCCCTGCCCAGGTGCTGTGCAAGTTGATCAACAGCCTGTATGCCAAGGGCCAAGGGCCCGTGGCCAAGATCCAGTCTTCCACCATGGCCTTCAAGCAGATGGAGCAGATCTCGCAGTTCCTGCAGGCAGCCGAACGTTACGGCATCCTCGCCACAGACATATTCCAGACGGTAGACCTCTGGGAAGGTAAGGCCAGCTTTGGGAGGAGGGGAGTGTCTAAGCCTGGGATGTCGAACTCATTTGTTATGAGGGGCCAGATCTGACATCAGCGAGACCTTGTTTGGCCAGGCCGTGTGTGTCATAAAATGTAATGCCAGGTAGCGGAGATATAAACTTTATAAAGGACACAAACAGGTTTTTTTTACTTAAATGTCTGTGCTGTTGAAATCTTGAGTATGCTGTTCAGGTGTATATCTGTAAGCTGCAGACCTACTTTTGATTTATTGACATTCACCATAGAAATCTCATGCTCTGTTCTGTCTCCTGGACCCAGGGGAAAACATGAAATGGATGAGTGATTGAGAGAGTCTGGCGAAGCAAGCTATGATGCAGCAGCAGCAGCAGCAGAACTGGAAGCAGGAGATGGCCAGTTCTAGTGCGGGCCTGATAGAAGTCCTTCGGGGGCCTGATCCGGCCCCTGGGCTGCATGTTTGACACCCCTGGTCTAAGCCATCCAGATAATTCCGAAAGGAGCTTTTGTGAGTCGGTGTTCACGTCTTCAGAAGAAAAGGCAGCAAATGTTTTAAACAAAAGTGCGTGCTCGAATAGATGTCAGTCTTCAAGGTGTCCCTGGACTTCTGTTTTCTTTTGCTTTCTTTGGTTCAAAGAATGCCTCTGTACTACGGCCTTCTGAAGTCTGTACATGATGCACTGCTGACAGGTTCGTTCTGGTTCCTGATGCCTGTTCAGGGTTTTACACTGAAATCTTCTCTCTGACATGTGGAGGCCCTAGTAAAAAACAGTGGGGGAAAAGCGGGAAAAAGCGGTTCCCTGATGCGAAATGTCCCCTGGGGGCTGCTGTTCGTCCCAGGGGGAATTTGCATTTTACTAGATGTAAGTTTCCAGCAGGGCTAATAGTGCCCCTTTCAGTCCTTGGAATCCAAAGGGGAGAGGATGTATCGGAGTTTCCACATGTAACTCCCAGTGGGGAGGGGCTGTGGCTCAGTGGTAGAGCATCAGCTTAGTGTGCAGAAGGTCCCAGGTTCAGTCCCCGGCATCTCCAGCTAAAGGGATCAGGTAACAGGTGACGTGGAAGACTCAGCCAGAGCTGCTGCCAGTCTGAGTAGACAATATTGACTTTGATGGACCAAAGGTCTGATTCAGTGTAAGGCAGCTTCATATGTTCATTTCCAGGGAGGTGCCCTATTTATCCTTATTAATCATTATTACTAGCTGAGAGCCAGTGTGGTGTAGTGGCTAAGAGCGTGGACTTCAGTCTGGGAGAAGCGGGTTTGATTCCCCACTCCTCCACATGCAGCTGCTGGCGTGACCTTGGGACAGTCACAAGTCCTCTCAGAGCTGTTCTCTCAGGAGCAGTTCTGGAAAGAGCTCTCTCAGCCCCACCTAGGGTGTCTGTTGTGGGGAGAAAAAGGGAAAGGAGATCGTAAGCCGCTCTGAGACTCCTTCAAGTAGTGAAGGGTATAAATCCAATCTCATTATTATTCTAATGCAGAAAAGGGGTATCTACAGTGAAAATGCTGCCGCAGTTTGGTGGCAGGGTGATATTGGCTAGTATCTGACAGAGGTTAGCCAGCAGGATGCCCTTGGTGCTAGCTAGCTGCCTTGTTACTTTTAGAGCTTGCTGGGGGGGTGTAAATGTGTTCTTTAAAACAGCTGGAAGGATGTGAGACTTCTCTTAAATGGGGAGAGGCTAACTTTGCAGAAGTTTCTGAATGATTAAATGCTTGAACGTGTGCAACGGACTGTGACCCAAGTGATTATTGTGGAACTGCTTATACCAGAGGGTGTCCTAAATTAGTCACTGCTAGACTGCGCTGGTCTGATAAGGTTAATCTATTTCCCTGATTGGCTAGCTCCTCTGAATGCCCAGCCTTCACCTGAAAAATTTCGAATCCTTTTTCCTTGTGGAGACATAAGTGGAAAGGCAATTGGGGGTTTCTCTTAGGTCTCTTAGGACAAAAAGGATTGAGGGACTCATGCAAAATGAAAGTGTGGGGAGCCAGATGAGATAGTCAGTGATGGGAATTATTATTGTACTGCAACAATCGCAGCAGACCAAGAGGAAGCCCAAAGGTGGTTATTAGGGGAAACACCCTAAGGGTGCTCAAAAAAACCTCTGGATGGCAAACCAAAGCAAAACCTCTATGTAGAAGCAACCTATTCAAGTGCAGACTTGTGAGTGACAAGAACAGTGAAGCCAGAGGGGAGATCAGAATTTCAGTAGCCTGCATAATTTGCTTGGCTTCTTCCCATGGCTATTAAAAATAGAGCCAATTCTGAGCCCAAGCTGCGTAACTTTTGCTCAGGCACAAAACCCTGCTGTCTTTATCACTGGGATGAAGATCTGCCAGCAGCATAAAATTCTTCTCCAATCCAACCAAGAACGGTAGCCATTAAGTATTGTTAGCCTGCCTTGCTCCAAGACCAGATGGTCCCATGCACCATGATACTGGCCAGTGGAACATCCATGTTCAGAGGTAGCATGCCCTGTCCTCAGCAGCTAGTCTTCAGCTAGGGGGTGTCTTAGCTTCCATGTCTGTCTTTCAGTGTTATCTGTGTGGCCAACATGAGAGCTACGATGCTGGACTTCAATATAAACTGGCAGACCTCTCCTGGATGGTATTGGGCTTTTGTGCTGCAGTAGCACATGGACGTGCTCTCATCTGTCTCAACCTTCTCCATCCTATAGGTAAGAACATGGCCTGCGTGCAGAGGACCCTGATGAACCTGGGAGGCTTGGCAGTTGCGAAAGGCGACGAGTTCTTCGCTGGAGACCCCAACTGGTTCCCAAAGTAAGTGCTGGCGAAGGGGTTTGTGTGCAGTATGCACCATCCGAATTCTGTGCTGGTCGCTTACGGAACTTGCTTGAGCCTTGCTTAGCTAGACACCGAGGAGAGCAGTCCTGTTATCCCATCAGGGAGTTCCATAGCCACAAGCCCCTGGAAAGACTGTTTCTGTACATAGAAGACCTGGAATGACCTCAGGGGGCTGTGCTTGGGACTGCCCTGTGAGGGAGGCCAGCGCTGTTCGTTGCATTGCTGGTAAAGGGCTGGACATTCAGGTAACTTGCTTAGGTCACCTAGTAGACCTGCAGTTAAGATTAGAAACCAGGGAATTCTTTCCTTGGCCTCTCCAGCCCCTTTATATTAAACTAGTGCTCAAGCGGATTTTTTCATACTGGTGCTCAAGCGGATTTTTTCATACTGGTGCTCAAGCGGATTTTTCCATACTGGTGCTCAAGCAGATTTTTTCATACTGGTGCTCAAGCAGATTTTTCTGCAAGTGTCTGCTGACTAGGTTAGCAGATGGGATTCCATAAGTTTGGCTTGCTGAACAAACCACCCGTGTGTCTGCTTGGTCCCTAGGATGGCCAACCTCCGCCTGGAAATCTCCCAGAATTACCCCTGAATCTCCAGATTACAGAGATCAAGGTCCCCTGGAGAAATGGCTGCTTTGGAGGGTGGGCTCTATGGTTCCAGCCCCAAATCTCCAGGAGTTCCCCAACCCAGAGTCAGCAACCCTATTGTGGTCCCCTTGAAATGGAACTAAATACTTAGATTAAGTACATTTTGGCATACCCTACAAATCAATTTGGCCTCTGAACTCTGAGCCAGTTTGGTGTAGTGATTAAGTGTGCGGACTCTAAACTGGGAAAACCGGGTTTGATTCCCCACTCCGCCACTTGCAGCTGCTGGTGTGACTGTGGGTCAGTCACAAGTTCTTTCAGAGCTGTTCTCAAAAGAGCTCTCTCAGCCCCACCTACCTCACAGGGTGTGTATTGTGGGGAGGGGAAGGGAAAGGGATTGTAAGCCACCGCTCTGAGACTCCGAGTAAAGGGCGGGGTATAAATCCGATCTCTTCTCTTGGTGGAATTTGGCTTTTCTTTTCTTTCTTTTATTTTCTTTTTGGTAACTCTGGTTTTGCAAGATGAATAAACTTCCTTGTTCTCCCCCCCCCCCCCCCAAATTGTTCCTTCAGGAAGTCTCAAGAGAACCGCCGTGCCTTCTCGGACGACAAGCTCAAAGAAGGGCAGAGCGTCATCGGCCTCCAGATGGGCACGAACCGGGGTGCCTCTCAGGCGGGCATGACGGGCTACGGGATGCCACGCCAGATCCTTTGAGCCCCGAAACCCCTTGATCCGCCCTTGGTTTCCTAACTTTTAAATCTCCCCAGAAGCCTTAAACGGGGGGTGTTGGGGGGGTGGGGTGTTTGAGGCTTCCTGGTTCCCCTTTCCCTGTGCTCACAATTGCCAGTGTGTGCCCTTTCTTAATTTCCTCTTACCAGATTCCATTTGGGGCATTTTCGACTGGAGTAAACCTCTGTTTTCCCCCATGATCTTTTCCCCTCCCTTCTGGAGTATTTTAAACCACAGGTTTTTTCTTTTGTGCCCCTGACCCAAACATGCTGGGACCAAGGAAATCCCCCCCCCCCCCGCCCCCCAGGTAATGCAAAAATGGTGGTTCCAAGGACCAAATACCTCTTGCTTTGGGGCACATCCGACCTACCGCTCACATTCCAGTGTCTGGCTTTGTAGCACAGCTCCCTGTTTTTAACAGAAGCTTTGGGACCAAAATAGTTGCTTTCTTGGGGCTCCAGGTTAACAGTCTTCTTCCCTCCCCGCCCCTCGCCGGGAAATCGGCATCTTAATTTCTAGAATCTCATTTCAGAATGCGTAACGTCTTAGCTTAACCCTCTCCTAAAAGGCAAAGCTGGGAAGGGAGGCAAAGACGGTTATTGAACTGCACCTCGGAGTGGGAGGGTCAGCCGGCTGGCAAGATTCCAGAGAAGCGAAACGGTTTTGGACCCTCTTGGTGCTAGGTTAGGTTCAAATCCTCCCCTTTTTTTAAAAAAAGCTGCTTTTGGGGGTGTGGGCCAAAAGGGATTTAGCTGATCCGCTGTCTTTGCTCTGGCGTGGTCTTTGGGTTCCAAGCTGGCTCTGTTCCATTTTCTCCCCCCACCACACACACAGACACACCTTGGCAAACTTTTTCATTGGTCAGTCCTGTGGAATTCTGGTCTCTGAATGCTAAGTGCTGCCCAGACGCCTCGTGCTTGGGGGGCAGGTGGGGGGGGAGGCGCACTGCAGTCCCCCCCCAATTGGGGCAAAGGCACAGCTGTTAACCTGAACTCTTAAAATCATGTGGCATTCTTGACTGTGGAATGTGCTCTTGCCTCAAGGCCTCTGATAAGGAATAAAGATTGCTCAATCCTTGTTTATAACTCTGTGCCTATTCTTTCTGGGGCCCTGGGGCAGACGGCCGGGTGTGTGTGTGTGGATAACACGACTGTTCTGAGCAGTTTGCAGGATCTAGACCTCCCCCCAATACTCAAAATTGCTTTGGCAGGGTCTCTGTCTTTACCAGAATCGTAAACATGCATTGGGGGCGGGTATTAAGGGTGCCGCATGACGGAGTGAGCTCCCGTCTCTAGTTCCAGCTCCTGCCAACCGAGCAGTTCGAAAGCAAGAAATTGCAAGTAGATCAATAGGTACCACTTCGGTGGGAAGGTGACAGCGTTCCGTGCGCCTTGGTGTTTAGTCATGCCGGCCACATGACCACGGAAACGTCTTCGGACAGCGCTGGCTCTTCGGCTTTGAAACGGAGATGAGCACCGCAACCCTAGAGTCGGACTCGACTGGCTTTCGAGCAAGGGAACCTTTACCTTTATTAAGGATTGTAGACACAAATCAACACTGACCTGGATAGCCCAGAGTAAGGGTCCATAGTACTTAGATGGGAGACCAGTGAGGAAGCCCAGGGTCATTCTACAGAGGCAGGTAATGGCGAACCACTTCTGTGGTCTCTTGCCTCGAAAACCCTCAAGCCTTTACTGCGAAGCCAAGACTAGCCACCCATCTCAACGCAGAATCGCGCCATGAGTTATCCTTCATCTCTCTGTACATCCAGGTCAAAAGACTGAAGATGATCTTCAGCCAGTCATTAATGGTTGTTTTATAAACTCGAGTTGTTACTGAAGGTAGAGTTTAATTCTACTCTTAACTACAGCTGAAGGTGTTCATGGTGGAACAGTGAGCAACTGGCGCGCAAATTTGTTTTGAGAAATTTCTAAAGATTGGGGACTTCCAAATCCCCATATCGGTGCTCCAAACAGAAGCCAGGGGCAGTAACTTCCATTTTGTGAATTTCTATAGTCGGAGGAGTCAGGCAGCCTCCTCTCCTATAAAATCGAAGAAGACCAAGGATGGCTTTTTCGAAGTTATGCTTTTAGCAGAGTCAATATTTAAGTTGTCCCAGAGCTGGACTGATGAAACGTCACCCCTAAATATTTAAAGCTAGATACCTGTCCCAGTGGTTTCTCATCCGTTGTCCATTTGTAATAATGCGGCGTTCTAGCAAAAACCGCAATCAGGTTGACAGTTCGAGACCCGAGTGCCGTGTGACGGAGTGAGCTCCCATCTCTGGCTCCAGCTCCTGCCAACCTAGCAGTTCGAAAGCAAAAAATTGCAAGTAGATAAATAGGTACTGCTTCGGTGGGAAGGTAACACCATCCCATGCGCTTTGCCGTCTAGTCATGCCAGCCACATGACCATGGAAACATCTTCGGACAGTGCTGTTTCTTCGGCTTGGAAACAGATGAGCACCGCCCCCTAGAGTTGGATTCAACTATCTCTCGATCAAGGGAAACCTTTACGTTTAGATTATTTTCACAGTAAGAGCTGTACTGCCTCAGCAGTGTTCTAAAACTAACTTGGGTGTGGGAAATTAGTAGCACGTCGTCTGCACAGAGGAGGATTGAAATGGCTTCCCCCCACCTACTTTGACTGGGAAGAAATGAGGACCCGATAGGAAATCTCTAACATTTCTGTACAGATTAAAAAGCAATGGGACCCAAATGCAGCCTTTGGTGGAACCCTTTTGTGGTTTTGACTGGGCTAGACAATTGGCCACGGGCTCTGTCTTCTGTGCGCCAGTCTCTTGTGGTGGCAGTTTTTCCCTGCACCATTTTCTTGGGTTTTAGAAATTGGCCTAGCTTGGGCCATTACCAATCTTGGAAGACAAGCAGGGTCTGCCCTGGTTAGTACTTGGATGGGAAACCATGAAGGAAGTCCGGGTAACTATGCAGAGGCAGGCCATGGGAAACCACCTCTGCATGTCTCTTGCCTTGACCTGGATGGCCCAGGCTAGTCAGAGCTCAGAAACTAAGCAGGGTCAGGGGTCATTTCCTGCAGGAGCGCACAGGAGCAGAGCTCCGGCAGTAAAGAGCCCGGGGGGCGGGCACATGCAACAAGGCCCGCCCCCTGCTCCCAGCAGCCCTCAGTCGGGCCACAAGGAGCAAGAAGCAGCCAGGTAAGTTGCAGAGGCCCCCCTGCCCACCTTCAGGTACAAGGTCTCCCTCCACTGCAAGGACAGATCTGCACGTCGTCGTCCCCCCCCCAATAGCTAGCAATCCAAAACCAGTGGAGCCCGAGCGGTGGGTGTTGCCTTCTGACACACTTCCGGTGATGTCAGGGGGTGTGGCATATGCAAATAAGTTATGCTAATGAGCTCCTGCACCTCTCTTTTTCTACGAAATGACCCCTGCAGCCCTGGTTAGTACTCGGATGGGAGACCACCAAGGAAGTCCAGGTTCACTACGCAGAGGCAGACAATGGCAAACCCCCTCTGCAGGTCTGTTGCCTTGACCTGCGTGGTCCAAGCTAGTCGGATCTCAGAGGCTAAGCAGGGTCCGCTCAGGAAATGCAAATCACCGCTTTGGGGTCAGGAAGCAAATTTTCTCCAGGCCGGTTTGGGCAGGGATCCTGGAAATTGGGAGTTTGGGGGGGGGGGGTTTCTGCCATATTCGGGGCAGAGAGCAAGGGTCACTGGGTGTGTGGAGGGGGAGGTATTTGTGAATTCCCTGCATTGTGCAGGTGGTTGACCTAGATGACCTTGGAGGTCCCTTCCAAGTCCAGTGTTCCCTCTAAGCTGAGTTAGTGTGAGCTAGCTCACAGTTTTTTAGCCTCCGGCTCACACATTTTTGTCTCAGCTCAGGAAGGAGGGCTCCAGAGCAAGCTAATTGATGCAGTCGCCAAATCGCTCACTCACAACTTTAATACCAGGAGCTCACAAAGTAGAATTTTTGCTCACAAGACTCCACAGCTTAGAGGGAACATTGCTTTCCAACTCTATGATTCTGGGATTCTGTTCTATGATTCTATGGTTCATTCTTAGATGGGAGACCACTAAGAAAGCCCAGGGATGCCGGCAATGGCCAACCACCTCTGAACGTCTCTTGCCTTGGGAACAGATGGCCATAAGTTAGCTGCAACTTGATGCCCCCAAAATGGCCACGTTGGGGAAAATAGCTGTCCTGAGGGATTGGAGCATGGAAAGTTATGTTCCGATGTTGGCGAACAAGGAATATCCAGAGTTCTCTGTCCACATAGCAGCCACCCCAGTTTTGCGATGATGTTTCCGAAAAGATCACAGTGGGTTTTTGGAAGGGTACACAGAAGTACCACAGTGCCTGGGGCAGCAGCTGCTTCTCAATACCATACCAGCTGGCCCTGACAACCGAGTTACACTGGCATCTTTTGTGGGAGTGGAAAGCGCCCTCAAGTTGCAGCCAACGTGGCGTAACAGCCCTGGGCTGCCTTGGTGGTCTCCCAGCCAAGTACTAACCAGGGCCGACCCTGCTTAGTTTCTCAGACTGGGCTAGCCAAAGCTATCTAGACCAGGGTGAGGAAGATAAACTAGTAGAGTTTGAAAAGGTACATGGAAGTGCCTGGAGGCTGGGGGGGGGGGCTGCTTCTTAGTAACATCCAAGCTGGAGCAGATAGAAATTCCAGATCACTAGAAGAAGAGTTGGTTTTTATGCCCAGCTGTTCTTTAACCTAAGGATTCTCAAAGCAACTTACAATCGCCTTTCCCTTCCTCTCCCCACAACAGGCGCCTTGTGGGGCTGAGAGAGTCCCGAGAGGCTCTCCTTAAAATCTGTCTCCATTCCTGAGGACTGGAAGGTAGCTAATGTCACTCCCATCTTTAAAAAGGGCTCCAGAGGAGATCCGGGAAATTACAGGCCAGTCAGTCTGACGTCGATACCGGGTAAATTGGTGGAAACCATTATTAAGGAAAGAATTAGTAGGCACATAGATGAACAAAACCTATTGAGGCAGACTCAGCACGGTTTCTGTAAGGGAAGATCTTGTCTCACTAACCTGTTAGTGTTCTTTGAGGGAGTGAAAAAACATGTGGACAAGGGGGATCCAATAGATATAGTTTACCTTGACTTCCAGAAAGCTTTTGATAACGTTCCTCATCAAAGGCTCCTAAGTAAGCTCAAAAATCATGGGATAAAAGGACAAGTCCTTTTATGGATCAAAAACTGGCTAATTAATAGAAAACAGAGAGTGAGTATAAATGGGCAGTTCTCTCAGTGGGAATCAACTGTATTATTTGTTCCATTCCATGTATTGCAGTAGAGTGCTGGCTTTTTGCTGTGAATAAATTTGTTGTTGTCCCAGTCCATATTTTTATATGGATTGTATCAACCTCTGCCTACTAAACATATGCTTTTTAAAAATGAGGTTCCAGTGGAGTAGGGCAAGAAGTTGCAGTGACAAGGACTCTGTAGGATAAACTGGCTCATTCAGATTTCATGTAAAACCATAATTAGGATGACTGTCTGAACCTGGCCACTCACTGTTGTTGTGTTGGTTTGTCAGGGAATATAAAACCAAAATCTGAAACCATGTTTGAAGTTGGTTTATCTGAAGAAGCGTGCGTGCACAGGGAAGCCTATACCCAGAAGTAAACTTTGTTGGTCTTAAAGGTGCCACTGGATTCATACTTTGTTTTGTTAACCACAGTTAGTCTTAAATACGGTTCTGCATTCTGTACAAACA